CCTTGCTCACACAACGTGACCTCAGCTATGTTGCCTACCCCAGGCTTGCACAGCGTGCTCTTAACCATGTTGCCTACCCAAGGCTCACAATGTGCCCCCAGTCATGTTGCCTTCCCCAGGTCCACAGTGTGCCCCTCCACCATGTTTCCTACCCCAAGCTCATACAGTGTGTGCCCCTCGCCATGCTGCCTACCCCAGGCTTACTCAGTGTGCCCCCTGCCATGTTGTCAGCCCCACAATGTACAAGGCCCCCATGCTGCCTTCTCCAGGCTAACTGTGTACCGCCCCTCCCCCATGATGTTTACCCCAGGCACAGACAGTGTGCCCACCCCTTATATCGTCTGCCCCAGGCTCACAAAGTTTGCCCCCCATGTTGCTACAAGCAAAACACATAAGCAGGTAACATAAAAAGCCTTTATTCCGAATAGACTGTTTACAATTTTACTAAATTGTCTCCCTTGCAGACAAAGCCCTTCCACCCCCAGAAAGGATATCAAGCTGTGTTGTCTTCCGCCACAGGATCAGGTGACCTCTGAATATTTGGAGCTTAGTAGCGTCAGTCATTATTCCACCCTGGTTCAGATTTTGGAGGTCGGTTCGCTATACTTTGGGCAATCAGGATCTTCAGACCAGACTGCGCCCTTACCCTGGAGGAGGTGCACCCAGCACCTCACAGATACCCAAATTAAATCACTCTAACAAACATAGTATAATAAAAACACTAAAAGGTTCAGAACTGAAACTGATGTAGGATGAGGATGTGATGGGGAATCTTTAACGTCGTCTCCTGTCTGGACTTCTGCTCCTCCTCCGCCCGCTTCTGTAAAAGTAAAATATAAAACTTAATTGACAGCGGACTTTACTAGGCCTCAAATTCTTTTGTTACCATTTTTCCCTTTCATGACGTAAAATGCAATCCGTCAGTTTGTCCATTCATTCAGTAAAAAAGTGACAGGTTCTCTTGATTCTTTCCAAGGACACTTGCCTTTGCTGTGCTCCCCTGCAGAGCCCAGGGTCTAACCCCAATGTAAGCTCCATGTCTGGTACACATGGTCAATTACCTTATTCCCTCTCCCATTCAGCATTCTCTGCGGGTAAACCTTCCAGGTCAATGTGTTTTATATACGCAAATGATTCTCCAGCAGAGAATGTTTGGACTGGGCCCCCTCCCTGCTGGACCAACAGCACAGTTGGTAGTCACAGCCATGATGAGGCACCCCGTCCTCCCAGGCCTGCGGACAGCTTAACATTCTGTAGATACAGCCATAGCGGGATTCCCCTCTCCTCCAGGGTCTGAGGACAGCTGCAAATTGTTAATTTACAGCTATGGTTGGGCCCCCTGTCCTCCTGGGCCCGAGGACAACAGCACATAGTGTAAAAACAGATACAGCTGGGCCCAGTCGTCCCTGGCTGGCTCCACATTTAATAGTTACAGTAGAACGGGGGACAGCTCAACATTCTGTTACATCTCCCTAAATAATGAAATCTAAAGGAGACAAATCTTACCGTCTTTTTCCCTTTGGTGGTCCACGAACAAAACCCCAGTCCACGCTGACCGGCTGCCCCATAAGGTCCTGACCGTTCAAGCCTTCCATAGCTGCCAGGGCCTCTTTGTAAGTCTCGTATTCCACCAATGCGTATCCCTGCAAGAGAAAAGATCCCAATGGGTTAAAGGACTAGAATTTAGTACAATGACAACAGCGGGTTAAAGTACTTCCCTCCAGGGAAATGAAACGTTTCCCCTTGAAGTGGGGCTGGCCCTGCACTGCAAGGGTTAACTGTTCATTTGTGCCTAGGGGGCAGGAAAAGTCTGTTTTACTTTCCTATGGTAAAACAGGACTATGGAGCATGCGTTGTATATAAAGACATCAGCGGTCCGTACACCACCACAGCGAAGGGGAGAAGGGTCTGCGGGGACCAATCTAACAGCCCAGAGAGGGCCAGTGGGTGGCTTTTTCATGTCACCTAGGAATAAATGAGCAGTTAACCGTTGCAGTGAAGGAGCAGCCACAATGCAAGGGCAAACTTGATTTCCCTGGAGCTTACCCTTAATTTCTACGGATCTGAAGGCAGCTATATTGTATGCTACGGTACCATATCCACTGGTCCCTGGCGTTTAGTTCAGTAAACCAAAACTAGAAAAATCTGTGTGCAGTGCATTTCAGCCTATTTTTATATGTACCCATCTAAGTGTTTCTTCTAATGTTAACATGTGTACATCTTATTGGACCCTACCACTGCTGCTGCTGAGACCCAACATGTAAACAGTCGTGTGTAATCAGTGGCATGGTCTGAATGAGTAATTTATGCAGCATAAACACTTGCGCAGGATGACCACGGCCGTCATTGATTGAAAGTGTCATCGAGGGCTGAGGTCATCCTGCACATGTGCCACCATATAAATGACACATTCAGGGCTGAGATCGTCAGCGTCCGCTGATTACACACCATCGTTTAGGTGTCAGCCAGGGCAGCAACAACAGGGTCCAATACACTGAATTAGTCAATGAAGGCCAGGGTCATACTGCTACACAGCATCACCGGCTGAATGACTCATTCAGGGCCGACATGTACAGTGTGCAGTTGAAGGTGAAGCCCACTGATTATGAACTATTATTTATATGGTGGCCTGAGCAGTGAAAGCAAGGGCCAATACACTGAATTAGTCAGTCAATGAAGGCAAAGGTCATTCTGCACATGCACCAGCCCTGAATGACTCATTCAGGGCTGACATGTACAGTTTGTAATTGGCAGCAATACCCACTGATTACAAACTATTGTTTACATGTCGAGTCAATCACTAGGCAGTGGGGAAGTGGCCATACAACTCAGCTATACAGACTAGGCTACATCTCCGTATAGTTCAGATGCCAGCAAGATCCTGCTTAAATGTATGGGCCATATGCATGAAACCTATTTACCATACCCTAGTGCCATACAAATATACTTTGAAGTCAGGATATCCTGCAGTTTATTCTATCTTGTTTCTGTTTAAATAGAAGGCATTGTTCAGCAACTTTGACTTCCTATACATGAGCAATTAGGACCTGACACAGAGATCTGACCCTACTCCGTTCAAAATGGCTTTTGGTAAGACAGGGCAGGCGAGGTGGAATATTTCTGACCTTCAGGAAGCCTGTCCTCCGGTCCAGGTTCAGATGTACGTTTTTGATTTCTCCGAATTCCGCAAACTTATCGTGGATGTCCTCTTCTGTCGCCTCCTCGTGGACCCCGGTGATAAAGAGGATCCAGCCCTCCACAGCTGACGGGGAAAACAGAGACATTGATTACAAATGAAAGAACAAGAGATAAAATGCTCACTGTGTGGAAATCTTAGGATAAATCTAGACTCTGACACACCATAGGGTGGACTAGGCAGAGCTCTGGTGCAATCACAGGGCCAGCAGAAACTAAAGAGTACCTGTAGTGCTGGGAATAAAGGATATGCTGTGAAGACAAATAAAAGGGGATGTACTTCACCCCCATTTACATTTCCAATTATAAAGGCTTTAGGGTAGGGTGATGTTAACCCATAGCTTCCATAAAGATTAAAACCCACCCACACATAATAGCCCAGTCTCATTCCTGCCTTTAGTCCAGCACTACATTAAACATAACATTTTAGAGTACAAGTACCCTTGCCCTGCACAGGTCTCCCGTCGCCTGCCTAAAAAAAACATACTTGCCTTGCCTGATGGTACAAGTCTTCACTGTCCTGGCATAGACTTCTATGGAATGGTCTCTGATCATCTCCAGCCTCAGCACACAACCCCAAAGAAATCTTTGGGACACTAATGCACAGGGTGGTGAGGACAGTGAAGATTTGCATCAATGGATGTAAACAAACAGCCGAAGTGCGGCCGCCAGACTGAGGTAAGGGGGTAAAAAGGAGACAATTTTTTTTTTTGAAAGTGCACTTATCCTTTAACATAGCTTTTGGATTGCAACAAGATGAACTCAACTGACCACAAAAAAAAAAACAGATTGTAACAGTCCGCCCACTGCTGTTTAGACCCCTAGTATTTCCCCAAAGTCAGAGACAAGGCAGTCTGCTGCAAAACAGAAGTTCTGCCCAGCATGAGAAGACATGAGGATTTAAAAGGAAGAGCAGCAAAGAGAAGGGAAACAACCATGGATTACAGTAAGGCACACATTACAGTATTGTTTTATGTTAAAAATTCTGAGGGTTTAATGTCACTTTAAGCTCTGGGCACAGACTGGAGGAGATTGTGGTTTCTGTGATAACAGAATGAGCTGCACAAAAAAGGGGCCTCTTTTTTATTTTTTGAATAACCATTTTTTTATTTTAAAATAGCAGAGTTACATGAAACATAACAGTGTACAGCAGTATATAAGAGTGATGCATTCCAATTATAGGGCATTAAACATATATCTAGCAATATAGATGTTTCTAGAAGTTGGCTTCTAGGTTTCCCGTTATTCAGTATAATTCAATTTGGTTGCTGGGGCAGTATTTTAGATCCCTACAATAGTTATCTTGGACCAGCAAATCACTTACATTGAATCGGAAAGCACTGGTGTCATTAGCTATATACACCATTATTTTATTCCAGTCTTATATCTATTTGCATAAAAGGGGCCTCTTATGGGTACCATTGTGACAGGCAGATGCAAGATACTAATCTGGGAATGGATCGGGTGTCCCCTCTCACTATCCAACAAACTGGAAGAGGAATGGACAGTGGCTGCTCCTGGAACCCATACTTACATCTCTGAGGACCGGGCTCATCTCCATCCTGTTCTACGCTTTCGTAGTCCTCTCGGACGCGGGCACGGGACCCCTCCTCTGCGGGGAAAAAAAAAAAAGCGTCTTATCAGCCTTGCTCGAGGTAACAGCAGACATTTTTTTTTAAAAACACACATCTGAATGATCAATCTAAACGCTAGTGTGCGATTCTCCTTCCTGACACACCCGGCGTCAGCAGCAAGAAAGAGCTAAGCAAGGTCTCACCTGCACCGAATCCTCGGCCTTTCCTCTTCTTGGCCTTCTCCTTCAGCTTGTGAATACTTTCTGATAGGAAAAAAAGGGAGAAATATTTCACAGGTTAATAAACATAGCGGGATGCATTATAGGGGAGAACAAGCTGCAGCCAAACATTTCTGACAGGGTGCGGAAGATTGGAAGCCGTATCTGACTCTATCTGTGGTTTGTGTCCCCCATGCTCTCACCACTAAGGACAAACCTCTGTCATTGTCCTTAGTGGTGAGACAAGTTGTTTTACATGCTGGTTTGTGAGTGTGCCATGATGCCTTTCTACTGTACCAAGACATGCAGTATCCCCTATTATCAGCCCCCCAATAGCATGTCTGCAGGCCTAGTCTTTCCTACTGGTCCACGGGCTTTTCTAGTTCTCCTCACAGACATGCTGGCCTGCCAACACCCCTAGCCATCTCCACTGGCCCATCGATACTCCCAGCCCTTCCCCTCTCACCTGCCAATACCCCTAGCCCTCCCAACTGACGGGCCAGGTCTTATTCAAGCCCTCTCTGCTGACCTATTTGGACACCCCATCTCTCTCCCCTGGCCTGCCAGGACTTCCCAGCCATCCCCACTGCCACTCTGCAATCCTCTCCACTGGGACCCCCCCAGTCGTCCCCACTGGCCGTCCTTCATATTAGCCCCCTAATGCACCACAATGGCACCTCTAGTTCTCCCCAAATCTCCCCCCAATGTGAAAAAATGACCCGTAGCACACCCACTGGACCCCCCTAACTCTCAACAATAAGACCCGAAGTCCTCCCTCTGGACCAACAGCACCTCTCTCAAAGTCCCAATGTGATGTGTAGTCTTCCCCTATAGACCTCTCCCGTCTCCCCACATTTGGGGCTCCTGCCCCTCCTCTTACCATCCCCGTCCTCATCCATGGCGAAATCCTCCCCGCCGGCCTCATGTAGATCCAGAACATCCGCCATGATCGCTGTGTGTACTCCGAGCTTCTCCGAGAGGAAACCTGCAGGCAGCGGGAGACAAAAATCACACCACTTCCGGCGCCGCCTGATGACGTTTCTGTAGCTACGGCGAGCGGAGCGGAAGTGACGCGTATGTACGTGCGGCCACCATATTGGGCATGGCAGAGGGAGGCCTAGTACATGGGATCATTACCGTCAAAACCTAGAAAGACATACCATACAGAAATACATCCTATGATGTGGGATTAAATATTGTACTTAATATTAAATGTATTTACAAATAATTAGTTAAATACTAGCAAGTGTGCTGAAAAGTTGGGGATATGAGTGATTGGTGTGCTGGCAAGGAAATGGGGGTCAGATGTGGTGGTAAGAGTGGGGTGGCCATGGAAATCAGGCATTGGTGAGGGTGAAGTGTGATGGTAGGGCAGGGGTGGAGGGATGATGGTGGTCATCTGGACAGGAGAGGAGCAGGTGTGGTGAAAAGAGCAGGTGCGGTGATGAGAGCAGGGACGAGGAGAGGAGCAGGTGTGGTGAAAAGAGCAGGGACAAGGAGCAGGTGTGGTGAAAAGAGCAGGTGCAGTGATGAGAGCAGGGACGAGGAGAGGAGCAGGTGTGGTGAAAAGAGCAGGGACAAGGAGCAGGTGGGGTGATGAGAGCAGGGACGAGGAGAGGAGCAGGTGCGGTGATGAGAGCAGGGACAAGGAGAGGAGCAGATGCGGTGATGAGAGCAGAGATGAGGAGAGGAGCAGGTTCGGTGATGAGAGGAGCAGTGATGATAGCACGGATGAGGAGAGGAGCAGGTGCGGTGATGAGAGAAGGGACAAGGAGAGGAGCAGATGTGGTGATGAGAGCAGAGATGAGGAGAGGAGCAGGTTCGGTGATGAGGGTGTTTGTGAATCCATTTGTTATCAACCAGGTGGTCCTGCCAATAACACTATTCATGTCCAAGGGTGACAACATCCATTCCTCTCACTGCTTCTATGGAGGAGCAGCATTGTCACCCTAGGCCAGTGGTGGCGAACCTTGGCACTCCAGCTGTTTTGGAACTACAGGTCCCATGAGGCATTGCAAGGCTCTGACAGTCACAGACATAACTCCCAGAGGCAGATGCATGTTGGGATTTGTAGTTTTGGCACAGCTGGAGTGCCAAGGTTCGCCACCACTGCCCTAGGCGATGCTCATGATTTGGACTACAATCACCTCCTACTCTGTGCCTTTTCACTATACAGGGGGATGGTGTTCTGTAGTTTACAGAATATAACATTGGTAGCCCCATGCACAAGAAGTGATAACAAGGACTTGGCAATCCTGGCAGGTTCATCGGCTATTAGTCTGTGCTTGCTGAAAATGTACTTGCAAAAATCAATCTGCATTTCTATATTAAATTTCCACCAGTTCTGTCCCATTCCTAATATCCATCTAGAACAGGAGTGCCCACAATTTTTTGTGTTAAGATCTACTTTTCAAATGATGAGCTACATGAGATCTACCAACGAAAAAAAAACCTCCCTCACGCTCTTTCTCCTGGCTGTCTCTCCTTGCTCATCCTCCTGGCTGTCTCTCCTCTCTCCCCTGGCTGTCTCACCTTGCTCTCTCTTTCCTGGCTGTCTCTCCTGGCTGACCTTGCTGTATTTTGCAAACAGTGTAGTGCAACAGGCTGTGTAAACTAATATTCTTTGATGTAACACTTCAACCATCAGTATCCACCAGAAAGGTGTCAGGGAGCTTGGCTCAGCAGACTCAGGCTAATCATGTGTGCACAGCTAAATAAATATACCAAAATGGAATAAAGGGGCCGCCATTCACACCCATCGTGATCTACCAGCATCAGCTTTGAGAGCTACTGGTAGATCACGATCTACCTAATGGGCACCCCTGATCTAGAAGTTGGTAAATTTACCTATTGAAGATGTCCATAGGATGTACTTCCTCCATATGGTGACACCATTTCACTCAGCCCTGTGAATATGCACTTCCTGCGTTCACCACTTTTTCAGACAAACCATGGGGACACATGCATGTATTGCAGAGGTGTACCGAGTATGTTTGATTCCTTATTTTGCCCAGACATATACTTTATGTATATTAAAATCAACACACTTCCCTCTTAACCATCAACTGCCACATTGATGCACCCAGGAGCCGTAGAGAAGACACAGACACAGAAAAAGAGTCCACAGCTTGTCTGAAATCCGTACTTTTTATTTGTATATACAGAGATACAAAGAGATTGGCGAGTATGGATATAAAACACAGGATATTGGTCCGGGAGCAGTCGTGGAGACTTCGTTAGGTAGTAAGAAGGTATAGATATAAAGAAAAGAAGATTTATACAAGAATATAGTGTACGGCCTCCGCTCTGTACGGGAGGAGGACCGACTTATTGCTTTGTTCTAGAAAACATGGATATCGCCGAGCGACTGATACACCACCTCCTCCTCCTGGGAAATTATACAATGTATCAAGCGATCGATCAGGAAGTGCCATTTCCTGGGATCGGGCTGGAAAATGCCCACATTCACCCAAGTCATGGATATAAAAGGCGCAATTCTCCAAGCTTAACACAAGGATAAAGATCTTTATTTTAGTCATGTGACTGTCACTTTCAAACCTCATTGGACACAGCGGAAAATAATTGCTAATTGTGTGATAATAAGTATCCTTTTCCTGGTGTGTTAACTGTGTGGTTTGATGCTTCTTACCCTTGATGTAACCTAACCCACCCTCCCCTTACATCGATCCGATGGGCACAGCCTCCAGTGTTTTGTTTTATTCCACAATCACACGTCTCCCTGTCCTGGGCACACATGTGCATTAATGCCCTATGGGCTTCTATGGCCTGTTTTGAGTCCAGAGATGAATAGAGATGGTCCCATTGTAATACACAGGCACAGCTAGGACAGTTAAGATTTGCAACGCTGGATGTGCACAAGCACTGGAGGCCTCGGCCACCAGATCCGGGGTAATTATGCATCTGTGGGAGGGAGGAGAGTGGGTTAGGTCAGAGAGGCAAAAAGGATAAGTGCAACTATCCTTTAAACACAAGGATAAGGATCTTTATTTTAGTCATGTGACGGCCATTTTTAAACCTCATTGGACTCCGTTGAAAACAACTTTTTGGAAAGTAAGTATCCTTTTCCTGGTGGCTTAGCTTTGTGATTTGATCTCAAGTGTTTTCATTCCGGTCCTCGCTAACAAACGATGGCTGGCTCTGCAATTGTGCTTCTCCTAAAGCTGAAAAAAAACAAATGCCCCTTCATTGCCCCCTCACCCACAAAAAAAACCACACACACTGCAAGGGTTAAATGCGTGTTAAGTCTAGGTGTAGAGGAGTAATATGTCCCCTGCTCCTCAGTGTGGCAGGCTCACTCCGCCGGTCCCGCGAACCCTTTCTGAACCGTGGTCGCACGCTTGCCTCCTCTACATACAGTGCTGGACTAGTAGCCCTGCATTGTGTACAATGATGGCCAGGGACTACACGCAGCCCGGGGCAAAGAGGTAGGTAATACAGCCTCTTCCTCTACCCCACCCCCTTGTGTTAAACCGTTGCACTGCAGGAGAGGGGGGCCCCACTAAGTTTTTTTTTTTCATTCTAGCCAATAAAATCTTGTTCTCAAAACACAATTATGTCCAAAGGACCACTTTGTAGTGTATATGGAGCTAAAGTGCACCTGTCACCTAAATCAGCAGCGGTGGGCACCGCTTTGTTTGCCACTATGAATTCAAACTGGTTGGGTACATTCAGGAAGTGATAAGGCAGCTTCCTATCCTATTCAAAAAAAGCCACATTCCTTTAAAAGTCACTTGGATGAGATCAGTTTAATATAATCTGACCCATGAGCATCTGGACAAAGGGTTTTATATTAGAGCTGGACCCTCTGTCAGGGTTGTATCGCCATTTGTGCCCTTGCTGCGGAGGTTTCCTGCCGGGACAGGAAGTGGTGGGAAATCTCTGCAAGGATAACCCATGCAAAGACATTGGGAAAGGATAGAACGCCTGGCACTGTTTTTATTGCTATTCTTTCTCCTGATGACAGCACCCCCTTTTTCGTGTGCGGGTGTCACAGGTACGGGAAATCTCTCCAAGGATAACCCATGCAAAGACATTGGGAAAGGATAGAACACCTGACAATGATTTTATTGCTGTCCTTTCTCCTGATGATGACCGCACCCCCTTTTGTGTGTGTCACAGGTACAGGAAGTGGGGGAATTCTCCCCAATAGGGGCACAGGCCTGACTGAAATTAGCTACACCCCACTCTATCCAAAACTAAAAAAAGTGAGAGTTAGGCTTTAATGTTTTATAAACCTTGTTGGGGGTACTGTCTATTTCTGTAAACACATGGGGGCACCCCTATTTTCTCTTTTCATACGCAGACTTTTCTTCCTATTACACACATCTGTATCTTACCAACCCTCTACACCAGGGGTAGCCAAACACTGGTCCTCCAGCTGTGGTGGAACTACAAATCCCATGCAACATTCTCACAGCCAGACATGACTTCCGGAGAGAGATGCCTCATGGGATTTGTAGTGTCACCACAGCTGGAGGACGTGCGCTTGGCTACCCCTGCTCTACACTGCAAATCTACCACAGGCGTCAGACTTAAACTATCGGACCCTATACTGCCCACAATGCCCCCGACAGCCGTCCAGCATCTGATCTTTGCCAAGGCTCAGAGTCACATGACCGAGCTCAGCAGATCTTTTTTTTTTATCCATGCAAAGAAACAGGTACTCAAAGTGATTTACCACAATGAGACATCCCCTATTGATTCATGGAAAGGTTACATTTAAACAACAGGTCCACTTTAAACCCCTCCATTCTGTCTAGCACCCAGTCTTTAGTGTTCATCTCATTTCTTACTTAGCGTTAAGTACGTGAAATCAAATCTACGTCCTCTTCCGAAGCACCGCTACATCTGTATACTACATATTAAAAAAAAAAAAAAAGAAGAAACAACTTCTCTAGAAAAGCGGATTTCTGACCAAACTGTTAAGAAGATGGTCTCGCTACCATCTCAGCCCCGGAAGATGCGGCTGATCGCGGCTATCAAAATATAGAATATATATATAAAACAGTACAGGACACACGGAGCGCCGGAGTATAAAACGCTGTACAGAACGCGCTCGTACAAAGAAAATGTGCAAAAGTGTATCGTAGGCCGAGGTTACCTCATGGGGGGCAGGGGGGTGTTTCTTTTTTTTCTTCTGGTCTTTAGACGCATTCAGAGTGTCGGAATAGAAGGCGGCTGGTCCCAGCATCTGGTGACCCGTTCATGGTTGCTCTGCATGCGGACGCCAGGAAAGAGCAATGAATTCTGGGTAAATTACATTTTTACACAGCAGGTCTGAAGCTGAATGTCTCAGCCAGTATTAAAATCCATCAAGCCCACCATTAACCAAAGAGTACAAGAACTTTGATTGCTTGTGAGAATGGAAGATCTAACGTCCCACCTCTATCATATACAAAACAGTTTCAATTACCTCTTGAGGAGGAGGGGTGGGGGTGTTACCATTTCTTGGCCCTCTGTCCTGCCAATGCTGTGTCCAGGGCCACAGCATCAACCTTATTTGAGTTGCTACACAT